AGTCAGAGGAACAGGAGCCAGCACCCTGACACAGAGACTTCATGGATGTGTAATACCACTGAGGCATATTCTGTGTGCTTTTTGTGCTGTTACCGTCAGAACTTTCGTGCCATCTCCCTCAGTATTTAGAAAAACACTTTGGAAAGAATCGAATCGAAAATATAATTTCGGGGTCCTTTCTGGTGGCTGTTGCCGCAGCACCAGAGCCACCGGGGCTCCTCGGGCGCGGGGGCTGGGCGGAGGCTGAGGGTGCTCCGGGGAGCAGCGTCGGGCTGGCAGAAAGGCCGCGCACTCCGGGTGCCACCTGCCGGGACCGCGAGCCGGCAGGTGACATCCCGGCGGAACCTCCTTCTCCCTTCCGTCTCCTTTTTTCAGCACATACGGGTTTCGGTGGAAAGAAGAACGGTCTCCAGCGGTCCCCCGCGATCTGGCGGGCTGCAGGAGACAGAGCTCTGTCCCAAGCCCCTGAGGCTGCTGCAAAGCCGCCTGTCCCTGCAGCACGCGTGGGTCCGCCCGCAGCCGGCGGCGGGCCCGCTCCCTCCTGCGGGGTTCGTGCGGCCGCCGGCCGTGAGGATGGGCGCTCCTTTCCCCGCACTGGCAGGGCTGCTGGTGGCTCCGAGCACATCCAGCGGTCCCAGCAGCGCCGGGATCCCGCAGTCCCGAGCGGGAGCGGAGGCGCCGCTGCCGCCGCCGCGCAGCCTGGACGGCACCCCCCGCTCCCCGCACACGCTGCCAGCCCGGCGGCACAGAAAGCTGCTCCGAAGCCGACTGCTCCCCGCAGCCTTGCCGCCCGGTAGGTGCCTCCTGCCACCCTGAACAGCTCAGAAAGCAGGGGACATTCTCCGGGCTCAGCACTTCCAGCGGGGTGTCAAGGCAGTGACAGCTCCTCGTCTCCTGGCCACACGTGAGCACCAGGACCTCAGGCTCTGTGCCAGGCTTCTCTCCCCTCTCGGGTGAATCACTGGCTCACCAAAGGTAGCATGTTCAGGGCAGGAGGGGAACAGTCTGGGCTGGGCTCAGGCACACAGTGGGTGAAGTTTGCCACTCCTACCAAGAAATAGTGCTCAGAGGCAAAGGCAGCAGCCCAACTCAACTGGCCTGAGAGGCAAAGGGATGCAAGTGTGAAGGTGCCAGGGCCCAAGGATCACTCCTGAGTCCCGTTGGCTTGAATGCAGGCACCTCTGTCTGCTCCTCTGCAGCAGCCAAGTGGCCTGCAGCAAGGCTGGACTGGAGCTGTGGCACTGCCTTCCAGGATGAATGATGTCCCCTGGGGACACCCTGGTGGCCCTGGGGTGATCTGACAGGTGACTGGCAGTGGATGGCTCAGAGGCAGTTGCTGACGTTTTGCCATGATGCCACCCAAAAGAACTTCCTTTCAGGGGCAAAACCAGCAGGAATGGGTCCTTGCAAGCAAAAAATACCACTGTAGTCAGTGCTAAATCCAAACGGTCTAATCTTTGTCCTGCTGTTTCTATAAATATGCTCTGGGGAAGCATACCTGACCTGAGGTCTGTCTCCAAAGGTGTGTTTGACACCATTTCAGTAGCTGTGCAGTGGGAGCTGACGGGGCAGGGCCCGGTGCCACTGCCCACCCCAGTACCCCAGCCTGGAGAGGGCAGTCCCACCCGCAGGCACCAGGCACCTGCCTGGGGCTAGGGACGAGCCAGGGCCACGGCAGGATGGCAGCCTGCAGGGAGGGCTCAGGGTCAGTAATTTGGGAAACTGAGGTCAGACACAGCGCAGGTTCCAGGGGTTATCCTCAGGGTCCTGACAGTTGCGTAACATTCTGCAGCTCCAGCTCATCTTTTAATCATCTTAACAGCGTATATGTTACAGCAATTAATTACCTGATATATTTGAGTAGGTTTCATAACATCAAGAAGCATTAAAAGCATTTTTGTTTTGAAAGGTGCCATGATAAGATCAGAGCAAAGTACCTGAGGCCAGTGCCAGGTGTCACAGCTACATCAGGTTCCACTCGCTCTCTGCCAGAAGATAAAACCTTTCTGCTTGTGGGTTGGATTTGTTGACTCCTTCCCAGACCTAGAGCCTGGAGGATCAGAGAAACACATTATTCTGCCTTTCACGAGGCAGTTTTGCAGCCCACACATATGTGCCCATGCTAGCGTTCACAGAGGTAAATCACAGGTCGTAATTACACGCCAGTAATGCTGAAAATAGAGTACCAGCAGTGCATTAAGGAAACCCCAAAGTCTGAAAGCCCTACAGAAAATGGGACAGAAAATGAAAGCTCTGGGCTCAGTGATGTGCCAGTGCATGCATGTGCCTGCACAGGCAGCCCTGCTGGCCCCAGTGGAGTGGGGCAGCGTGGAGGGGCAGCTCTGTGTAACAGGCACACACTGTCCCCGATGCAGCAGACACAGCTGGAATCTCCCCAGCTCCTTGCATCTTCTCACTCATCCCTGCTCACCTGTCCTGCCCCTTGCAGGCTCTGCCCCACTCCCTGCTGCCCCGCGCTGCAGCTCACCCAGCAGTGCCCCACTCCGTGCTGCAGCTCACCCAGCAGTGCCCCTCTCCGTGCTGCATCTCACCCAGCAGTGCCCCACTCCCTGCTGCAGCTCACCCAGCTGTGCACCACTCCCTGCTGCAGATCACCCAGCAGTGCCCCACTCCCTGCTGCAGCTCACCCAGCTGTGCACCACTCCCTGCTGCAGATCACCCAGCAGTGCCCCACTCCCTGCTGCAGCTCACCCAGCTGTGCACCACTCCCTGCTGCAGATCACCCAGCAGTGCCCCACTCCCTGCTGCAGCTCACCCAGCTGTGCACCACTCCCTGCTGCAGATCACCCAGCAGTGCCCCACTCCCTGCTGCAGCTCACCCAGCTGTGCACCACTCCCTGCTGCAGATCACCCAGCAGTGCCCCACTCCCTGCTGCAGCTCACCCAGCTGTGCACCACTCCCTGCTGCAGATCACCCAGCAGTGCCCCACTCCCTGCTGCAGCTCACCCAGCTGTGCACCACTCCCTGCTGCAGATCACCCAGCAGTGCCCCACTCCCTGCTGCAGCTCACCCAGCTGTGCACCACTCCCTGCTGCAGATCACCCAGCAGTGCCCCACTCCCTGCTGCAGCTCGCCCAGCAGTGCCCCACTCCATGCTGCAGCTCACCCAGCTGTGCCCCACTCCCCAGAGCTGAAACACACCACACACAGCCCTGCATGGTTCCATTTGGCAGTAGTGAACAGGATGTCTGCCTGCCTGGGCGAGGGCCCCTCTCTGCCCTGTGCAGGTCCCAGAGCCCTCCAGAGGAGCTGCACCCCACTCAGAGGGTCTGTGTCTGGAGGGGCAGCACCCGGAGGGAGGCAGTGTCCCTACAAACAGGCACACACCAGGAGGGCAGCCAGCACCAGCTGTACAGCCCAGCTGGTCAGCAAGTGCACCAGGGAGTGTGGGCCCACAGCCCCAGGGGGAGTATGGAGACACTGGGATGGCTGTGAGCTCACTGGGATGGGTGTGAGCTCACTGGGATGGGTGTGAGGTCACTGGGATGGTGTGATGTCACTGGGATTCCTGTGATGTCACTGGGATGGTGTGATGTCACTGGGATGGTGTCAGGTCACTGGGATGGTGTCAGGTCACTGGGATTCCTGTCAGGTCACTGGGATGGTGTCAGGGCACTGGGGTGGTGTCAGGGCACTGGGATGGTGTGAGGTCACTGGGGTTCCTGCGGGCTGGCCCTGCTGGGGCAGGTGTGGCTGCGGAGGGACACACTGCTGCACAGCCGGGCCCGCGGGCTGGCAGCACTCAGGGTGTGTGCCAGCTCAGCTGCACTCCAGGCACACGCTGCTGTCGCTCTCAGGGCTGCAGCCACCACACCCACCCCAGGGACCGGGGAGATGGGGGTGTCCTGCTGGAGAAACGGGGGCTCTGGGGGGCTCCAGGGCCCCTTCCAATGTCCACAGGGGCTCCGAGAGAGCAGGAGAGGGACTTCGGACAGGGCTGGAGTGCAGAGCGAGGGGAAGCGAGTCTCACTGCCGCAGGACAGCGTTAGAGGCGGCAGTGGGAGCAGTTCCTCGCGCCGAGGGAGTGAGGCACAGCGTGCCCGCAGCAGCTCGGGCTGCCCCTGGGCCCCTGGAAATGGCACAGGCCAGCCTGGAGAGGGCTAGAAGCGCCCCGCTCGAGTGCAGCTGTCCCTGTCCCAGTCTCAGTCCCAGTCCCTGTGCCTGTGCCCCTGTCCCTGTCCCAGTCCCAGTCCTTGTGCCTGTCCCTGTGTCCCTGTGTCCCTGTCCCTGTGCCCCTGTCCCAGTCCCTGTCCCTGTTCCAGTCCCTGTCCCAGTCCCAGTCCCTGTGTCCCTGTCCCAGTCCCTGTCCCAGACCCAGTCCCAGTCCCATACCCTGTCCCAGTCCCTGTTCCAGTCCCAGTCTCTGTTGCTGTTCCAGTCCCAGTCCCTGTCCCAGTCCCTGTCCCAGTCCCTGTTCCAGTCCCTGTTCCAGTCCCAGTCCCAGTCCCTGTCCCAGTCCCTGTCCCTGTGCCCCTGTCCCTGTTCCAGTCCCTGTTCCAGTCCCAGTCCCTGTGTCCCAGTCTCAGTCCCAGTCCCTGTGTCCCAGTCCCAGTCCCTGTGTCCCAGTCCCTGTCCCAGTCCCAGTCCCTGTCTCCCAGTCTCAGTCCCAGTCCCTGTGTCCCTGTCCCAGTCTCAGTCCCAGTCCCAGTCCCTGTGTCCCTGTCCCTGTCCCAGTCCCTGTGTCCCAGTCCCAGTCTCCCCTCCATGGCGAGGGCCTGGATGATCTTTCAGACCCTTTACCCAGCCCGTCTGTTCTCGGCTCACGCTGTCCGCTCCGCACATGGAGGCGCGGTCCTCTCACAGGACTGTGCTAGCGGGCAGGGCGCGAGGCTCTGGAAACCTCCATCCCCGATTTACCGCTTTTCGGTAAACTCTCCCCAAAGCCCTGGGGGCGTGGCCGGGGCTGAGGGGAGCGGGGCGGGGCCTGGCGCCGGGCGGGGCGCGGCGGGGCCTCNNNCTGTTCGGCGGGTCCCGGCGCGGCCGGCACGGAGCACCGGCACCGGCGGGTCCCGGCAGGGAGCACCGGCACCAGCCGTGGCTGGTCAGCTGTCACTCAGTCCGTCCGTCCCGGTACCGAGTGCTGATACCGACTGGGCCCCGGTATCGGCAGTGAGTGAGTATCATCCGTGACTACCGGCACCCGGCTCCCCTCCCAGCCCGACCGGGATCCCGCTCTCCGCGGCAGGCCCCGCTCCCCGAGGCCCCGGCCCTGTTCCCCCCGGGCCGGGATCGCCCCGCGCCCGGCCCGGTGATCCTGGCCCGGCCTCCGGCTGCGGTGTCCCGGTGCCCTCGGGCAGCAAGCCCGTGCCCGGCGGCCCGGAGGAGCGCCCTGCGTGCGGCTCCGCCTGCTGCCCCGCGCGGTGCCCGGTGTGCGCCCCTCCCGGGCCTCTGCACTCCCGGGCTGTCCCACCCAGCGCGTCCTGCCCTGGCGTCCCGGGAAAACAAGGTTCGGAAAGGGCCTGTGGGAGGAAAGCGCCTGCTGAAAGGCAGGGAGTAAACGTGGAATGTTCTGCTGTTTTCCAGGTTCGGGTGTGGAAGAGACATTCCCCTGACCTCTTGAAGGTATTGCTGCCGTTAGAAAAATGCTGACTTCTTCTGCAGGGCTTTGCTCCTCTCTTTGCACCTCTCTTTGCACCTCATTTAGAGAAAGAGCTCTGCACCTCTTTGCACCTCATTTAGAGAAAGTCCAGAGCAGTTGTGTATCCTCAAAGTGCAAATGGGACGAGGATAGGGTTTGCATCTCAGTATTTAGCCAAAATCACTGTTAGATCATGGAAAATGAGGGCAGAGGCTGCTCCCAGCCCACCCCCTGGCACTTCTCCACTGCAGGCGGGGCAGCCCCAGGTGGCTGCAGCTGCAGTCTCACCTGGGCAGCAGGTGAGGGTTGTGCCTCTCTCACTGCTCTGAGAACCACGTGGGGCCCAGCCGGGCTGGGGTCACACCGGGTGCAGAAACAGAGCAGGGGAAGAAAAGCAGTCTCCTGACACTGCCCTCTGATAATAAATGTATCTTTGGGTAGGTTTTTATACATACGTTTAGGTTTGATGTTCTTGTACCTTCCCAGATGGGATTTTCATTGCAGCCATGAGCTTCATGATGATGATTTTCTCATCCAGGCAATGCAGGGTGCAAAAGCAGCTACAGCAGCTGAGGTGAAAGGTTTCATTCACATGCTCTGGGGTTAAATTGCCAGTTTCATACTGTCTGTGCCCTTGCATTGTCTCAGCAGTCTGAAGCAGCAGGAAGTCTGTGTCACAAATGGAACTCAATTTAAAGCTGCTCCTGCTGTCCTGGTGTCTGACCCCGTGTTTAGATGGACAGCATGGTGATTTTCCTGAAAGACCTTTCTTTCCCCTTTTTTCTTTCCCATTTTGTTGTTGCAGTCTGTAACAGCCTGACAACAGGGTGTGTTTTGCCTTCCAGGGCAGTAGAGAGCATGTCTGTTCTCAGTGCAGCAGTTATCCAAAAGGGTTAGGTTTGGCTGTGGGGGTCAAGCAGAGAATGAGATAAATAAGGAGAGGTTTGGGACTCGCTGATGGTGTGTGATGGGAACAGTGCACTTGTTTGTGCAATGGAAGAAGTGGTCTCTGTGCTTCGGTTTGTGTTCAGAGGTTTCTAAGAGCTCTCAGTGTTTGGAGATGAGCACGAGGAGCTCTGGAAGCTGTTGGAAGCTGGGAGAGCAGGAGCAGCAGAAGGGCTGGAGTTCAGCAGTGGGAAGGAGGGGTTGGCAGGGAGAGTGAGGCAGGTGAACAGGAATGGCATGGGAAGGATGCCCAGAGTCCCTTCTGCCAGTGGGGGAGCCCTGAGCATCCCAAACCTGCTTGGGATTGTGGCTGAGGTGTCTAATTAACTTGTTTGTTATTTGTTTGTTGGCCTTGCTCTTCCTCCCTGCTTTGAGTTTCCAGTGGCATCTCCCCTTTGTCTGCCTGGTGCTGCTGCCACTCCTGCATCACCTGGGGGATATCAGGTTTCTAGTGGCTCAGGTGAAAAATGCTGGCAGGCAGTTTTTGAAAATTATCGCTGTCGATGCCAACTGCAGCCATTTGCAGTTTTGTTAATGGTTAGAAGGAACTCAGATAGATGTCTGTGATTTTTTAATTTCAGCATTGGTAGCCCTGTACTTGGACTTGAAGGTGGTCCTTACTTTGGGGCTACCCGAGGGGCAGTCAGGTGCTTCTGAGGAAGGTGTGCTTGGCTTCAGCTGGGAGTGCAGCTCCTCTCGATGCAGGGATGGGTTCTCCTGTTGCCAAGGGTTTGAAGTCTGGGTTTTGTTTTATTCAGGTAGGGTAATCTAGTTCCAAAGTAGGATGTGTGAGTGAGCTGTTGCTCCCTGCAGCCTGTCAGATCAGGCAGTCTCTGCAGGACCAATATTTTTAATGTGCTCTGCAGACTCAGAGGTGAGGAGTGCCTTTCTGATAACCCAGCTGGAAGCAGGGTAGGTGTGGCACTTGGAGGTGAGCACAGCTGAGGGAACAGGGACCCTGGGGATCCCTTCCAGCCAAAACCCTGCTGTGGTTCTATGGAAGGGAGTGTTTGCCCATAGTCTAAACTTTTCACTGGCAAAAGGAAATCTGAAGTTGCAGTCAGGTCTTTCTCTGAGTTACCTCTGTAACCCAGTGAGAGACTGCTTCAGTTTGACAGTCTGGAAAACAGCAAGAGTTTGTTGAGCTTCTCTTCCCTGTCCTTGAGGCTGTGTGTGTGCTGTGGTGTGGGATTCCTGACATGGCTGTTTCCCTTTCCTGGGAGGAAGGGCATGGCTGTGAGTGTGAGCATGGTGGGCAGCAGGTGCTCAGGCTCTGTTGTGGTGCTGATGTTGGATGTTTCTTCTTTCCCAGTGGCCTGGTGTGCATCCTGAGCAAGAAGAGGAGCCTTGGTTATCCCAGCCACGAGTGGACCTGGGAGGAGGAGGAGCTGTGCTTTGACCTTCTGAGAAGCATGGATCAAAGTGAGTGCATGCTTGCTGCCTGTTTGTGCTGCTGCCTGCCCTGTGAAGTGTCCATGAGTCAGCTCCCTGGATGCTTGGGAGACACCAGTGTTGCTCAGTTTTTAGCACTGGTCACTGCTTGCTGTGTGTGACTGTCCCCTGGGGACAGAAGGGCAGGGAGGAGTACTTGGGTTCTGTTTTGGAGCTCACTAAAAACATCTTCAGGAGGATGTGTTACTTTCCTACATTGCTGAAGGCCTCTTCTCACGCCTCATAGCCACATGCTAATATTGTGAATGTGCTTGATTGGAGCTCTGTTCTCGCTGTGTGGGTGGGAACAGGCTCCAGTCTGTTTGAAACAGGGACCCCCTGTGAAGCTGACAAAAATGTTGAAGTTTGGGACCTTCATTTGGTCTGTTACATGTTTTTCTAGCTACAGCCATTCTGGTGCCGTTGCATTTTCCTTCCTTTCTACAGCATCTAAAGTAGGTAGTGGTGTAAAGTAGGTTTATTGTCTCTACTTCCCGCCTTGTTCTTTCATATATTTAGCATATCAGGTGTTATGTTTGCTTAGGAACCTGGGTAAGAGCAGAGAGGAACCTTTGGGTTCTTCAAATGCCGTTGTCACACAAGCTACATCTGTACACAGCTCACAAATCTGAACTTTTGTATGTGTGTCCAACTAAGTGGGTTTAAACAGTCCCATGCAACTCTTCCTCACCAGCCAAAAAGCTGAACTTCATCTGGCAGTTTTCATGTCTAGAAAAAGCTGGATGACTTCCATGGGAGCAGCTGTAATGCAGAAGCACAGACAGACTTTTAGAGGAAGCGTCCCGTGTCCTATACTCTGTGCTTCATGTGGTCATGAACACAAAGTAAGGTCGTCTCTCAAGGAGGCAGGGTGACTTTAGAACATCCCTGAATATCCAAATACAAAATCCCAGTCTGGCAGGGGAGCAGGCTGTGAGCTGTGGACTCACTCACCCCTGGGCTGAGGTGGGAAGGAGCCTCGGGCAATTTCAGCCCTGGTTTAAAGCAGAGTGACCTGGAGCTCAGGGCTGTGCCTAGCTGAGGTTTGGGGGTCCTCAAGAATGGAGGCTCAGCAGCCTTTGTGGGCAACAGAGTTACATTTAAGTGGAATTCCCTGTATTTTGTTATTTTGTGTCCATTCCCTTTCCAGTTCTTGCTGGGCAGTGCAGTGGTGGTTCTGTCTTGTTTACTCCCAGTGCCCCGGGTGTTTGTGAGCCTGGATAAAGCCTGGATAAATCCTTCTGAGCTTCCCCTCCCTGTGCAGCAGCAGTCCCAGCCTGACCTTCGAGGACACGTGTTCCAATCCCTTGGTGGCTTTAGTGGCTCCTTGTGCACTCACTCCAGCCTGGAGGGCCCAGGAGTGCACAGCACGCTGGCTGTGGGCTCTGAGCAGCCCGGTGACCCCCCTGGGGTGGGAGGGGAGAACTCAGTAATGCCCCTTTCAGAGGCCACAGCAGTCGAGCTGAAGTAGTAGTGATGGTTGATGCAAATTCATCCTTCAGTAGCTTTTGCTGTTCCACATTGGAGCACGGGTGGCTGTTGAACCTGCTCAGTTTGATGGTCTGTGTGCAGAGCTCTGCTCTCCTGACTCACCTCAGACTCTCCTCTCAGACTCACCTGAGCAATTTCAAGAAGACCAAAGGTATCAGTTGAAGGCTTATTTTGGATATATGACCATTCTGATGTTACTGTTTGATTTTTTTTTTTTTTTTTGGTAGACTCAGACTCCTTGCTTTCCAGAATATTTACTGGGTATGATGATCCTGAGAATGCTGAAGTGTATGAAGATGAACTTTATCCCGAGGAGTCATCCAGTGAGCAGAGTGTTGATAGTGAGGTGGAGTTTCATCTCTACAGCCAGATCCACTACTCCCAGGATCTTGGAGAAATCAGCACACTGGAAAGGGATGAGGAAGCTGATGCTGGAGAAGCCGTGGGTCAAAGTTCAGGTCTAACTGAGAAAGAGGATGAAGATGAGAACCTCACTGAGCTCACTGATGGTGGTACTCAGCTCACAGAGGAGCCCGAGGTCATCGTCCTGTCTGACACCCCAGATGAAGACAGCATCTACAAAAGCAAGGCAAAGAGGTCAAGATGCTCTTCAGCTCAAGGGAAGGCACACATCCAGCCGGTCTCTTCCACACCAAACCACACCAGAGCTGCGGGACATGATGCCCTGTGTCCCCCTGGGTCTGCTGTGGGCACACCAAGGCAGAGAGGCAGCAGCAGTGGCAGCCCTGCCCCAGTCCTTGCTGCTGGAGCTCAGGCCCCCCAGGAGGTGCTGGTGATAGACAGCAGCTCGGAGGAGGAGAGCTTGATCTCTGACAGTGATGACATCGAGAGCTGGATGCTCCTGGGAGCTGGTGCTGATGACAGGGATGGAGACATCATGCTGAACCTCGAGGGCTGTGCCACTCCTGTCAGGAAAGGTTAGTGCTTCTTATTGCCTTGTTTGTTCTGGTGTGGGGACAGCAATTTGTCTGCAGTGACGCTGGTGTCAGTACTTGAAAGATGAACAGAAAGCAAACGAGTTCCTGGCAAAGCTGTGGTAAATGAAATGGTCGTTATTTGTTCCATTTCAATACCTTTGTTTCAGCAGCATGGCATGTGGAAGGAAAAACAGCATTTTTCCTGGTAGAAATTTAGAAGGAATATCAGAGTGATTTATACTGTGAACTTTTCAACCTTGCCATGTATTTTGTGGTTTTGGGAGGGTATAAGAAGTTGCTGTGTTCCAGGCCAGAGACCTTTCAGCTCAGGACAGGGGTGACCTGTGGCAGGAAGGAAGCAAGGGGCAGAGGGGAGACCTGAGCATTTCCCCTGCCTGAATTCAGCAGGTGATTGCCCCCTCTGCACTCTTGACAGTTTGGGCTGTTCATCTGAAGTTGGCTGACTTTTCTCATGTGAATTCTGCCCTGAATTCGGAGAGGTTTCTCCCCAGGCACTGAAGTCTGACATTTTGGTGTTTTGATAAACATTCCCCCCCATTACAGCCAGAAGGTCCATCCAGGTGGTGGTCAGTGCCACGGAGTTTCAGCAGGTGTCTGTGGTAAGCACTGTGTGTGACACGCAGTGTCACCAGCAGCTGCAGACTGTGGGTGATCAGCCACGTTCCTTCTTGCTCACAGCTCTGCAGGCTGACTTCAGTGGAGCTTTTTGTCAGTGTCTATAAACAGTTCACATGCTGCTGCACTGCTTGACAGGGAGGAGCTGAGGAATAGGCTTCACCTTCTTCTTTGGTGAAACACTTATTTCAGGGCCATAAATGCTTGATAACCTTCTGCTGGAGTTGTGTGTGTTTTTGCATAGCATGGCAGTTTGTGGCTGCACGGACTTCTACATAAAGCACTCTGTCAGTGTGTCAGAGGCCCTAATAAGCACCATATTTGGAATTCATGCTGTTTTTTCCTCCTTACAAATCTTTAAAAAGTTTCCAAGAATTGCCTTGCAGGTGTGCCAGTGCTGACTGAGGGGGCTGTTAAAAATCAAATGGATGTTTGGTACCAGGGGCAGTTTCTGCTGAGTTATGCCACGTTTTTGTGACAAACATTGTAATGTTTCTGGTTCATAGTGAATGTTGGCAATAAGCAAGCCACATACAGAGCAGACAGCAGGGCTGGAATTTCCCTGCACTGTGTGACTGGGTCACACTGGTCAGAACTAAAATTGTTTTGTAGAGTGTAGGGAATGTGAACAGTTTTTGAGATGTTTTAGTGGGCAGTCAAAGGCAGTCTTGCGAGGTCATAAATACATGTGCTCTTCTCCTGCTCTGGTTCTGTTCTCAACAGGAGGCCAGAACCTTCTCCAAACCCCTCCAGATTCTGGTGGATGGAATTCAAGTAGCTCTGGTGCACAAAAGTTTGGTTTAGTTGCTCCTTTTCTAACACAGACTGTGATCCCCATGCAAAGACATAGGCTTAGAATAAATTGTGTTGTAGATATGTGTTCATAATGAAAAATCAAAGTAGTTGTAGGGAGGAGAAGCCATAAGTGTTCCTAGTGTACAGTAACTGTAATTTGTTTACTGAGCTTCTATCTCTCAACCTATAGACAATAATATGTAACTTGTCTAAGGGAAGGTGTTCTTGCCTGTGGCAGGGGGTTGGAACAAGGTGATCTTTAAGGCCTCGTGGAACCAAAACCCTTCTGGGATTTTGCAGTTCTATACATGACTCTGCTGAAACATGAACATAAAAATTTTCAGTTCAAAGAAGTGTATTTTAAAAATCTCTGTATTGGCAAATTACCCTCTCAGATATATTCTCTGCTCATTCATTGAAACTATTTTGGGACAGGCACGGTTCTGTTTTCAGGGTTTCTGGGGAATGATATAGGTGTTTTGGTGACAACACTATACATAAATTACAGTTTTAGGGCCTGTGGTATCAGTAGGGATGATCACAGCAGGAAGAACTCAGGAATTCTTGCCTTTGCCTTCTCCCCTGGAGCTGCCTGTGACTGTACATTGCACTGACCTCCTGTGACAGTGCTGTGGTGTTTAGTGTCCAGTTTGCTTCCCGTGGAAAAGGGAACTGAAACGTGAGCAGTCCTGGGAGGGTGAGAGCAGCCAGATGTGCCATCTCTTGATGAGTGTCTTCACCTCCGAGGCCCTGGGCAGAGATGCTGAGCTTCCACTGCGTCACACACAGCTCCTCAGGGGAGGAACTGAGCACATCTCCTCATGCTGTTCACTCCCCTACGCCTGCCCAACCTGCTCTTGTCTAACAGCGTCCTTACTTCAATATTCCCTGTAAGCAGATGCTGCTGTCCTGGAGCCTCTGGTGCTCAGGGAGCCTTTGCCCTCTGCAGCTCTGCAGCCCCAGCTGCCAGCACTGTTGAGAAGGAAGGAGAGGTTGTTGGGCTGTGGCACGTGAGCTCTGGGTGCTGGTGGCAGATCAGGGCTTACCTGCTGCTCCTCACCTGCCATCCCACAGCTGTGTGGCTGCTCCACGAGCACAGTGCTCCATGCACACGTGGGGCCTTCCCTCCATCCTGCCCTGCTTCCTTCCCGAGGCTGTCGGGTGCCTGTCAGGTTTAACTGCTTGTCTAATGCCACACTGAGCCACAGCATGTTGTTCCCTGTGTTTCTGTGAAATTCCTGCTTTCCCTGCCAAAGGCAGGAGCAGGTACCTGTGTGTTCCCACCTGTCCTGGTGGTTTTCCTGGTGTGACTGTCAGAAAACTGCCTGATGGTGCTGCTGGTTGCTGTGCTTACAGGGTCCTGCCTTCTTCACAGGCTGTCTCAAAAATGGATAAATCAGCAAATCTATGTCTGTGGTGTGATCTACACTCTTTTTTTTTTTATTTAAAGTTTAGGAGTCCCTAATAAAGGGTGCAGAAGGAGCCATTGCAAACTGCTGTGCACTAATGCAGGAAATTCATTTTCAGTGTCAGAGTTTCCATGTCTTTAGAGGAGTGTTCTCCCCTCCCACCCTTCTCTCAGCTTTGCAGTAAGAGTTTATATGATAAGAACGTTAATCTCCTGTAGTTGGAAGTCTTTCATCCATTTCTTCATTAAAACCTTCCTTTTAACATATTTCTTCTTCCATGAATAGCTGCAATCCTAATCTCCCTTTTTTTTTTTTTTTTGGAAAGACAGCTTTCAGAGCTGCAGCATTGATGTCCGGCCACTAAGGGGTACAAAAAGCAATTTATCTTCTCTCTGTTATATCCTCTGCCCGCCTGGCCCCTTTCTCAGAGGCGGGGTGTGAGTATGATTGCACTCTGGGCTTGGCAAGTTTGTGCTGTGCGGCTGCTTCTGATTCCAAAGAACACTTGTAAAATGAAAAGGAGAAAAAAAGAAGCGTGTTTGAACATTCAGTGAATGAAAACATAACAATATGCCTAAAATGGAAAAGAAAATTGATTTGAAAGCATTTAATTTTTGCCTTTTCCCTAAAAAATTATGTAGGAAGGAGTCTTCTATTTAGTGGCAGTAACTGCCCCTTACAGAGTCAGAATGGAAATAGCAGTCCCAATAAATTTGACTTAATTTTTATCTCTATCAAAAAGGAAATGCCCTTTATGAACTGTCAGTGTTTGAAATGGCTTCCTTTAGAGGCTGACCTCAAATTTATCTTAACTGTGGGACACTGCAGGATCTATGAAAAAATCTGACCACATCTGTATTTCTTTTCTCTGTGTTCTATTATTCAAATCCCTCAGTTGTTTCTAAATGGTGAAAAGGTGTAAGTTTACAACAAAATACAATGAGTTGTGCTTTGCTTCTTTTCCCTGACAGCTGCTTTTGAGTGTGACCTTTGCATTGTACAGTATGTTTTTGTTCTGGAGTCCTGTGATGTGTAGCAACAGCTTATTTTTTCCTACAAAAATGGCTACCATAAATTTTTCACTTTCCTAGGCCAGATAAGTGCTCTACAAAGAGTCCCATTTCCCTCTGCTCATTGGATACCCAAGTTGTGGAATCACTGGGTTCAATCTCAAACAAAGTTGCTTTCAGAAGTGAAAAGACTTCCAGCTGGAAATCCTCAACAATCAAAACCAATCAAAACAAAACAATCAAAAATCAATCTGCAACAATCAAAATATTTTCGTTGTTGATACCTAGACGTACCACCGTAGGTGCAGAGGTGTGTGCTGCATTTCCTAAAAGCAGCAGGAGTCCCTGGCGCGGTCCCAGTGTCCCCAGGCTGCAGGGGTGGCACTGCTGCAGCCCTCGGGCCAGCCGGTGGAGAGCACACAGGAGGGGTGCCTGGCTCCAAAATCCGTGTTTCTAGCAGCAGGCTGTGCTGGCAGCCGTGCTGGCGTGGCCGGGGGGCACAGAGGGGCACAGAGCAGCGGTGTCCTGGCCAGGCTGGCGTGCTGGCAGCTCCTGCTCCGCTGCCCCTGCTGCACAGCCAGGCTGGCACGGCTGGCTCGCAGCACTGCCTGGCCGTGGGCTGCTGAGCCCCTCCGAGGCTCCCACAGCTGCACCCTGCTGAGCCCCGGGGTCTGGGGGCTTTCCTGTGCTCGGGGGGTTTTCTTCTCACTGCTGTCTGCCGTCATGGAAATGTGGTGGGAGTGGTTTGTGCATGAGTTCCTGCAGCAGAACGCACCCTGGAGCGGGAGGCAGCAGTGGGAATCCACCTACCCCCTGGAAGATACAACACATGCATATGGATGTTTTGATTAAAGAAAAAATCTTAATCTTCTTCGCCGCGTTATGTGGATACACTCGAATCTCTTGATTATTTAAGAAAAAAAAATTAATAAAACTAATAAAGTTCCTTTGCAAATCCGAAGAGATCGAGGCTAAGCACATCCTGCAACCTGAGCAGCCCCTTGTATCAGTTCAGATTCCGTCACTGCTGTGGACCTGGCTCTCATTTGAATTTCCTCTGGCTTGGGATTGCTGACTAGGTTTTCTGCAAGAGTGCCCATGCTTACATGGTCATATATTCTGTGTGACTTTTTTTCACTTTTCCCACCTT